TCACACACCCAACCACCCACCCGATTAACAAACGAAAACGACCCCATCCCCACCACCCTCTCTTTTCCAACACCCTACACAATAGGTAGGGAGGTAGGTGGGTAGGTAAATGGCAGGATGGATAGATAGATGGATGAAGATCGATTAGATCCGATCAGATCCGATCAGATAACTCACCCCAGGACACACGGGCGCCTCCTTCCCGAGCACGCCGCGCTCATGGGCTTGGGGCTATTCCCCCTGCCCTTCTTCCCGCGCAGGAAGCCAAAGACGCCGCCGCCGCTCCCGCTCGCGCCCGAGGAGCCGCCGCCGGGCGCCGTCCTTGCCGGGTTCGTTGTTGGCGCCGCTGGCGTCGGCGGGCAGGGTGGCGTCCTGCCGCGCCAGGTCGCTCCAGCTGCTGCCGCCGTCCAGCGTGACCTGCACGCCGCCCGTCGGGCTGCCGACCATCATGCCCGGCGCAAAGGCCCGCCCCGCGCGCCCGCCGCTGCCGGCGTTGGGTGTATACGACTGCGGGTAGGGAGCCAGAGGGGCCGAGCGCCCTGGCGGGGGGTTGCCCCGGCGTTGCTGCTGCTTCTGCTTGGTGCTGCTGCTGTTGCTAGTAGTGGTGGTGTTTTCGTTGGATGGGCGTGATGTTGTTGCGCCGTTGGAGGTGGGTGAGGGGGTTGCTTCATTGGTTGTAAGGGCATGCGGTTGCAGGTTTGCCTTGCTGCCGGCGAAGATTTCTAGCCCGGTGGAGAGTCTTTCTTTCTGCTGTGTGATTCTGGGAGGGTAGAGGTCAGTACGGAATTTGGAAGGTGACAGAGAGGGAGGTTTCAGAGGGGGCGTACTTCTTGTAGGCTGCGACTGTGTAGTCAAAGGGCCGGAAGTCGGTGTCGATCATGCGGTACAGCTCATCCTCGCGGATCTCTTTATCTGTAGCGTCGTCCTTCAACCTCTCGCGAGGTTTCTGCCTCCGTGCCCGAGCCTCCAACGGCGCCTCCTCCAGCAACAGCTCTTCCAGGTCGTATGTCGCGTCGAAGTTAGTCTTCTCCGAGGACGGTACGAACACGGGCTCAATCTCCTTCCTCTCGAGAGCCACAAAGTCGATACATGAGAAGAACTCATGCTGGGTGAAGCTTTCCCATGTCGAGCCAAGGCGTTTGTTCGGGTCGGCATCCAAGGCATCCTTTATGGCGTACATGCATGGTAATGATACCGGGGGGCTCGTGACGGGGAACTTCGGTCGGGCGGCTTGGATGACGGTGCTCAGGGATGATTCCGAGCTGCCCTCGAATGGCCTCTGTAGCAATGGGGTTAGTGCCGGCCGTGCGTTGGAGGACCGGAGCAAGCGCCGTTGCCAAGCACACTTACCTTGTTGTAGATGCACTCGTAGAAGAGCACGCCCAGGGACCACCAGTCTGCACGGACATCGTAACCCTGCCCTGCATAGACCTCGGGCGCAAGGTACGCCAGCGTCCCTGATTTGCTTGTGAGAACCTTGCCTTGGATAATATCTGAAGCAACATTCTACGTATGATGCGTTAGTCGCCGCCAGGGTTGCAGAGGGGAGGTGAAGCACATACGAAGTTCTGTCAAATGCACATGCCTCGTTCGCGTCGAGCAGCACATTGTACGGCTTTCACATCACGGTGAATGATACCTTGCCCATGGATGTACGCAACGGCACACCCGGAGCT